GGTCTAATTCAACCAGTTTTTTTGTTTTATGGATTTATGGTCATGTTTTATAGTTATTTGCTTTTACTGTTGTTGTGAGCTGCCCAGAGTTAGGGCGGGCAACCATATATACCTTTTAAATACATAAAATAAAGACATTACATGAGTACTTATGTGACATATATACAGTACAATGATGCATAAATCCCATAGCTTTTATATAAGAAATGTACTGCAATAGAACTAACCTTTAATACAGCAGGCAGGGGAGGGCAAAGAAATGACAACATGAAGCCTCAATTTGATTTCTAATTATTCATATGAAGTTGGCTTATACAGAATCACAGTCTCTCTGATCCAGATAGGCAATCAAGTAACATCAAGATGTTTGGGACTACGGTTATGACACATAGTTTTAATGAACTTTACCTGTTAGAATTGGTAGAAACTATTGTTTTCAAGGACATTTTTATATCAGAATCCAAAAAGTTACTTAGGTGGTAATATTTATAGCAACATGGGTTTAAGTACAAATTTATTCTAAGAAAATTTGCATAGAATTGTGCTTTTAAATGAAAAGGCTACAACTATGCAACAAAACACATTGTGGCAGGTGATGTGATCTTGAAATAAATAAAATAAAAAACAAAAACAAAAAACAAAAACAAAAAAACCAACAACATGGGTATCATGGCTTGTCTGAGTGTTTGTGAATTTTCTCAGCTGTTATTTTTATGTTATTTTTGTTGTTTTTAATTCTGGGTGGTTTTAAATTGGTTTTAAAACAACAGACATTCCTTTTGTTTTCCTTAGGTGGAAGAGTGAACTCAATGTCTGTTCCCAAAAGGAATTTGGTCTTTAGTTATTCATCATTAATTTTTAATAGCAAATATATCCCTGAAGTTACTGAATGCATTGCATATAATATTTTTACTCAGTATGGTGAATTCTAGTGATTATTCTTTCTTTGCCATGAAAAAATAAAATTTGTATTACTACTTTCAATATTTAAATAAATTCATAGTCCCATATTTTTATCTATCTGAAAGTTTTTTTCATTTCTGTATCCATGGTACATCAGTTCAAGTGGAATAGTTTCTTCTTTGTATGAAATGCCCTTCTCAACTACAGCTGCACAGAAGTCATGTTTATCCAGTGAGGCAAACACAGGTGATTGTGCCAATGAGGGGGGCCTGTTGCTTGGGAAAGAATATATCATTATCTTGTTCTTATATATCTCACACTTGCAGATCTAGCTTTCTGATTACATTATAGAATAATGAGTTTCATAAGATGTCAGGTTTGAAGGTCGTAGAAGATGACTACGGTTGGTTCAACTGATAACTGGGATTATTTCTGGCCTTCTTAATGGTGGTGTGATTGCCACCTGGTATTTATCCTGACCACATAATCTACTCTGCATGGTGGGCATGGAGATAGAAGCGATGTTTCTAGTGTCTATATGGTGGTACAGTGGTTAGAAAGCAGTATTGCAGGCTAATTCTGCTGACTGCTAGGAGTTCAATCCTCACTGGTTCAAGGTTGACTCTGCCTTCCATCCTTCTGAGGTCAGTAAAATGAGAACCCAGATTGTTGGAGGGCAATAGGATGACTCTGTAAACTGCTTTGAGAGGTTGTAGTCATGTAAAGCACTATGATGCAGTATATATGTCTAAGAGCTATTGCCATGTGTATTTGTGTGTGTTGGGGAGAGTATTTTGATTCTCATTCTCTTCTATAAGTATTTATTTTAGTTTCATTTCAGTGAGACAGTTCTGCAAGCCAATTTTGGTGGGATAATGATACTTTTGCTTTTTTTCTGTCCTGCTTTTTCGCTTACTGTATGAATTTGGAACTTGCTCACTTGAAAAGATTTCTTAATATACTCAGTTTTCCTTCTAGGAACAGATGGTTTCAAATGTTCAGCTTTGCAGTTTGCTTTTAGAATTTATAAAATAAAGAATCCAAAGTCAGACAGAAGAAGAAACCTCAGAAGTGTAATTTTTTAAGTAGAGTAATGCAAATTTGCACAACAAAAACTATCATAAGCATGTAAAAACTGTACTCACAGAAAATACTAATTTGTAAAGTATGGTTAACAAACCACAATGTCCATGTTTCCATAAGATACTAGACTAAGACAAAATTAAGTCTTAACACCTATCACATAACATACTAAAACATAATGAACATGTATTCACTCAACTGCACAAGCAAGGTTTTGTCACAGTAGTATGTAAGCCATGACTTAATAGCCTGTTCAATCTCAGCTAAAGAGACAATAGCATTTGTTCATTTGGATAGTGAAAAAATATTGCTTGATGGCTCTGAATAGATATGGATAAGATTTCAGAAAATTTCCAAGAGATTACACAGTGGTCTTTCCATTATAGACAAAAGCTGAAAAACTGGCTTCTAATAGTTGTCAATATTTTACAAGACTGCCAAAATATTTGAACAGTCATGCAATGAGACAAAGTCGCTCAAAGGTACTCAGAACATAACTGCATTTGAGTATCATAATGAAAATCAAATAAAGGTCAGCCTTTTCAAGACAATTATGGTCAAATGGATGAGACTGAACCATCACAATTTTTAGTTTAAATTATGGAACAGTGTCCAACCATATAAACCAAAATATTTTTTCTGAATCTGGGGCTGGAATGATTTAGTGGATAATACAGTTTTTAAAACTAGTGTTTTAGTATGTCCCCAATTTAAAAAAATGTTGACATAATACATGTTAAAGAAATGGAAACTGAAAAAAATGCACTATTTGGGATAATCTTGTTCAACTTGTTCTGTTCTGCCACTCTACCTATTTTTCCAATCAACTGTCTACAAAAAGTGTATCCAACCTGCAGCCATAGTCCACATGTGTCCCTGGAGAGTTAGTAATGCAATTCCACAAGATTTATAAAAAATGAAGGAAGTTTGTTATTTATATACATTAATTGTATTATATATTTTATATGTGACCCTAGGCAATTTTTTTTCTAGTCAATGTGGCCCAGACAATCCAAAAGGTTGGACGCCCATGGTCTACAACTTATCTTGTGCATCATTATTGCTTGCTTTAAAGACTGCTTTATTTTTTCCCCATAGCAGCGAAAGTACTTTTTTTTTAAAAAAGTGTATTTTTACACCTTAGAGTGTAGAAATAGAGCTGGGATTGAGTGGTGCATGGGGTCAAGTCAAATATTAAAATTGTTTTAATTTAAACTGGAAATTAATTAAAAAGAAAGTTCCAGCCACTTGGACTATAAGCTGAAAATTTATAACAGTGGTTCCCAACCTTTTCTATACCCCATACCCCTAGAACTCTTCTGATATATTCTTGCACCCCTTACAAAAGTTTGAAATAATGGCAACGAATTATGCATATACACTATAATTTTGAAATTTCTAAACCCAAGTTTTTGCACCACCTGGAATGTCATCTCGCACCCCCAGTTGGGAACCCCTGACTTATAAGGTACATGCTCTTGGCTCAAAAATGAATTTGGACAGGATCATGTATCAGGTATAGGCTAACATTTCTTGGCATTAGTCCAAATGTCTACTACTTTTAAAATGGAGGGGGGGAGTCAAGGTGAAGATCAACCCTACAAATGTCACTTTGTCTATGTCAGCCCTTTCTATGTGAGCTTTGTTTCTGGTACCTCTACTACTTAAGTCATATTGCCAGACATGCAACCAAATCTTGCTCAGAATGGGCCACGCTTCACTAATATGTCTACCCACCCTGGTACCCAGCAAAGTTTTCCTATGAATGGCTAAGTTTGCTGATCTACTATGCCAACCTGTCTGGTCATACAGTAAATCCAAGAATGAGAAGTAGCAAAGCCATACTCTTAGAGCAAATTAACTGGGACTCTTGAAAGTCCTGCCAAGCTTACTGAATTCTTTTCCAATTGGAAATAAAAATGGAAATTGAAAGGTAGAACATATTTTTGAATTAATGTTTGTAAAACTTTATTTTTTAAATCCGAGTCACCTTCTGGTTGGTTCAACATAGCTTCTCTACAGGTTCTTACCTTTCTACAGTTTCTCATTAGAATACATGGAAGCTAAGTTGCTGCCATTTCCTTATCCACACTATGTCTGTCTTAAAAGGTGTACAAAGGAAATATCTTTTAAAAAATCATTGGAGGGAAAGTATTCAGTCCAAACTCAGCAGATAGGATGTGCTGTAAAAGATCTACCATGCCTGGTATTTTTATATTATCTTTAAAAAAAAATAATGAAGCAGCTGCAGTGTTTTTATGTTTCCCTTTATAGTCTGAAATTATTTATTTTTTTCAGAATCAGGTGAAGAAACGTGAAGCTGCTTAAATTAAATATTTGCCGCCTTAAACCACACATTCAAATTGAATCATGCCTTCTTTGAATTATACTTATATTTTTGAATGAAATCAGTAATAATTCATATATAACTACTCTCCCAATTTGCATCTTAACTGCCAAAATAAATTATAGACATAGCTAAACTAAAGTATCTCCAATTTACTACTTTCCAGTGAAATTCATTGGAATGAATTCTACTATGCTAAGTATATTGCCTTGATTGAGTTGTAATGTAGAACATGGCTATGTTTTTTTTTACAAACCTGAGTAGCAAGATGACTTATCACTTAGAAAGCTTAGAACCAGCGACACTGAAATGCTTAGCTCTTGTTACAGTCACAAACAAATCAGCATGTGCAACTTTTTGCTGCCAACCACACTTTCCTTTTGAATTACATACTTCCCAAAGTAGGCAGGGCCAGGACAAAGAAGTAGCAGGTCAAGGACAATAACTAAATTTGATTTGTCTACATTTGAGCTGTATGAAATTAAGTAAATATAATCATATGATTACTCCCCATACACCTAATCCTATCCCCCCTTTGTTTCATTTTAAAAACTGTACTTTAGTGGAAAGTTTTCAAAGTTGTCTGGCATAACATTCAAAGGTTTGAAAGGGGCATCAAGTTATGAACCTTGGACATAAAAAAATTCAGTACTAAATTACACGCTACCTGTCGAGGGGTCCTTTCCGACTTACTTCTGCACCACTCCCAGTCAGAGAGTTCTGGTTTCCGGCCCTCCTCATGAGACAACCTTCTTTCTGGTCCTTCAAAAAAAGTTCCTTTTTCAATATTCCGGATCTCTTCTTTTTTATATGTCATTTTTTCAGAAAGTAGACTGTCTATGAATTTATCCCTGCTTAAGTCTTTCCTGGCGTCTGTGCTGTCAAGGTTTTTGCAACCAGCAACATTTTTACACGTGGAGCTGTCCACCACGGAAATGGTGCTGAACTCCATTTTGCTGCTGTCTTTTTGAGTTTCTTTTGTGTTCTCACAATCGCAGTTGAGCAAGCTGTGGTAGGATATTGAATTGCTACCATCACTGTGGCGGTTGTCATGGGATATCTTATAGATTCCATAACCTTGTTGAAAGGACAAATTGAATTCAAAGCCTCTTCTTTTGGCTAAAGAAAGAAAGTAAATCATTGCATTAAAACAGCTAGAAAGCAGCAGGACAATTAATAGTGTTTTGTTTTTTTTAAAGTACATCATATTTTGATAATTGGGTTAGCAGTGCATTTTATCAAAACATATATTTTAAAGCAATGTTTCAAAACATTAAATGACAAAATAGAAAATAGTTGAAGCCAAGGTGGATTTGTACAACATTCTTTACTGGGGCAGGGAGTAGGTCAGTACCATAATCTAATTAGCACCAGGCACTAGAGGAAATTAGTTTTAGCTGTAAACAGACTATGGTTCCTCACTGTGCAAACTGGAACAAAGGTTAACAAAAGGTTGACCTTATATTTCACTGTTGGCAAGAAGATAAAAGTTCTAAAGTGATTGCTCTAAGGAACTCTGTCTTACTTTCTCTTTGCTTTTCATTCCCTTGCAGCCTCATAGAGAGATTAAATAGAGGAAGACATATTTCTTGGAGAACTCTCCAACTTCCCCAACTCTCCTCTAGCAGAAATGTTGACCAGGCCAACAGATGTATTTTAATGCTTAAAAAAAAATAAAAGCAGCAGGAAGTCATTATCTTCCAGACAGTGTGGCAACTGGGCAATCATCCAAAAAAGCTGTCCTTCATTTGATCATGTGCAGTGGATGCCCAGAGGGAAATCAGTCATACAGTGATTAAGTGAACTCAATGAGTTTTATTCTACTAAGTGTGTTTAAAATTGTACTAAATCTATTTTGCACATTTACTGTATATGTTTATTTATGACTTAAAGATAGGCATATCATAACACTTGGAATGTGAAATAAAAATTTCTTAGAACAAGAGCACAGTTATTCCCAGCTATTAGAAAACAGTTTTTATGTTGGTTCTATTAGGAACTGTATACTCTTTGAAAGTCTGTGAAATTTACACTAGAAGTAAATTAAATGAGCTTATTGTAACAGAAATAATATAAAAATAAATTCTAATTTGACTTGGAGCTAGCATTAATAATACCCTGAAAAAAATATTGCTATACATTTGTACAATATATACTATTACTATACTTTTGCTACAATATATTATATAATTCACTATCCTATCCTATCCTATCCTACCCTATCCTATAGTGTTACAATTTTCTGCATATTATTTTGATGGTTTAATGCTTCACTCTTCAACTTGTTTGCAGGGCTTAGATATAGTTTTATTTCAGTGGCAATCCAAAATTAAATCTGAAAAAGGCAATTGCAAACCACTTTTTACTTTTACCAAGAAAATAGTATAAGCTTGGTTAAAACATTAGGATGAGTTTGTGTGCCAGGTGTTGAGACTCCTAGTATGGGAAAATACTTTTCTGGTTACTGAGAAAGCACAGTGAGCTTTCAAAGTCTAGATATCAAGACTAGATGATATCAAGATAATTTTTTCATATTTCAAAAACACATGATGTTATAATATGGAATGGCTTGAAGCAAAGGCAAGTTGAATTTATTAAGTGGAAATGAAGTCTATTAAACTGAATACTTTAAGAATATTTAAACATAGGTGGTCTGGAATGAGCTACTTTAAATCATATAATTGCATACTATATTCAGGAACAAGTCAAGACAGTATAAAGAAATTGAGTAAAAATAATACTAAAAACAAGCACCTCTAAGTATGTGCTTGGTTATGACTCAATAAATTATAGGGTCATATCTATCAGATTTAGAGTATACCCAACAAGTGTTTGTCCCCATTACATAGGGAAGATGTTGGCAAATTGCAAAAGTACTAAAGTAGTACTATAAAGGATGATTGCCATGCAAATGTTGGAGAAATGGAAGAACTGAAACCATAGGAAGATTTGAAGAAAGGCAATAATGGCAATGGACCTAGTTATTTGCAAGACCGCCTCCTACCAAACACCTCCCTTCAACCAGTCCGCTCCCACAGAGAGGGCCTCCTTAGGGTGCCGTCGGCCAGACAATGCCAGCTGGCGACCCCCAGGGGGAGAGCCTTCTCGGTGGGAGCTCCCACCCTCTGGAACGAACTACCCCCAGAGATCCGGGTGATCCTGGATCTCCCCTCCTTCCGCCGCGCCCTTAAGACATGGCTCTTCCAACAAGCGGGATTGGCCTAGGGGAATTTTTAGTGGGGTTTTAAGAATAATTTTAAATTGACACAGGCCACATCAAATATTTCATTTTAATTAGGTTTTAAAGTGGGTATTTTTATCTTTGTATCTGTTTTACCAGGCTGTCAGCCGCCCTGAGTC